TCGGGTAAAGGCCCTTTTACTCTCGCCGGTCTACTTTCAAAGTCCTCTGAGAAATCTTTCATCTATCAATAATGTTTATTCCCCTTCTTGCTCGTTCATAGGCAGATACAATATGATGTGCAGAATCAATCAATTCTTCCCTTGTAAACCAGCGATCTTCACTTGGGTCCTGATAGGCAAATCGTACTTTATACTGTCGCCAGGGTCTGCCTCTACGTCCAGTGTGAATAGTACTCTCAGCAATAATCTTGTCCACATCATACCTCCCATCCATACTTGGAGGAATCGCTGATCGACGACTTGGAAACAGTTCATTAGTCGCGCAAGGTAGAAGCTTTGATGCGTGAAATACTGGATACGTATGCAAATGTAGAGGAATCTCAATAACATAAGAAGGTCCATCTACATCTCCTATTACATCCAAAACTTGCCAAGGTCCTCTGTAGGCTTGTAATAGCTTTTGGGAGTTGTTCTCTTCAGGAACAAACTCTTTAGACTTAACCCATACCAGATCACCTAGAGCAAAGTGAGAAGGTCTTCTATGCTTATTTGCCTGCTCAATCATCTGATGTTGTGCCTTTATTATATTTTCATTCACTTTCTCTATATCTTTCTGGTACTGTATAGCAAACTCACTCGTTCCTAGTGGAAGCTTATGCACTTGATGCGGGTTCAGACGGTCGATAGGTCTGTGTGGTCGCCATCCCAAATGTAACTCCATCGGTGTTTTGCATGTAGACAGGTGAATATAGTTGTTATACGCACTGGCAACTTTGGGCTAATGCTCGTCCCAGTCAATCTGATCGGGACGGATGTACATACGCAGCGTCTGCTGCAAAATCTTATTCATTTGCTCAGTTTGGCCGTTTGTCTTAGGATGCCTATCTGAAGACATGGTCAACTTGGAGCCATAGACGTTCATTAGTTGCTGCCATTTTTCACTTGTGAACCGTGAGTCTCTGTCACTCACAATTGTCAAGGAATGCCCATAATCTTTTACCCAATGGTTAAAGAACTCCCGAATTATCAGTTCCGTTTTCGCTTCTGCTGGTAATGCTACAAAAACAGCATCCTTACTAAATCGATCGACGATTACCATCACTTGCGTTTTTCCATTCCTGCTTCTTACCTTGGTGTCCATAAAGTCAATGGACACAGAGTCTCCTGGACCTGTTGGAATAGGCAAAGGCTTAAGTAGACCAAGGGGTGGCTGTGTGGTGCTTTTATTTCTTTGGCTTTGTTCTTTGTCCTTTTATTGCCTGATGACTCGTGTGCTATCTGACATGGCAATCTGCCTTCATGCCCACAACCTACTCCTACCCTTCCTACCACCTAGCGCAGACGTCAGACCAGATGTCAAGGATGTAGAACTAGATAATGACTCTGACCTTCTATCAACTCTGACTTGACCAGACTTTCGCCCCCTGACCTTAGACCGGACCAGATGTGGACAGACAGCAGCAGCAGCGACCACCAGAGAGGAGGGGTAGGAGAAACTACTCGACACAACTCCACACACAACCAGGTAAGGGGTAAGAGTTCTTTTTTTTGCAGACGTCGATGAAGGCTCCTCGATCGCTCCACGGTCCACGCTCCATGCGCATGTAAGACATTTCTCCTTAGCCCCTTCCTCCGCAGGTAAGACATTTCTCCTTAGCCCCTTCCTCTTCGGCCTGCTTCCCCTCTCCTTATCCCAATCCACAATGCACACCTCTTAGTTTTCCACCATAGCCAGCATTCTTCGAGCCAACATATCTCTCTCGCCAACATATCTCTCTCGCCAACCTTGCTCGTGCCAGTGCCTCAGTGAGAGTAACGAGTTCTGCTCCGATACCAAATTTGCAAGGAACCCGTCTGTTATCACTTGCTGGAGTGCGCCAAATATCATACATTCACACACATTGTATAAAATCACAATAGCTCACACAAAGCTTCAATGAGAGATGAACGAGACCAAGGAACTCAAATTATATTAACCAGATTAAGGGAGTCTTTCATAAGTTCAAAATGAACAACCCCGTAATAGGATCACAAGTCTTCCTCCTTCTTCTCAACCGAAGCACAGAAGGTAAGTATCCACATAGCTCCTACTTCCCCCCCTGTATGTCTGCTCTCTCTCTCCTTATCTTAATGTCGTAGTCCTGGTCTTCTGTTGCATGCCGTAACGGTGCAGACCAGAACAAGAACCGACCTCTCATACAAAGTACAAGATAACGTAGCGGAAGACTTAGGTACCAATGATCCGAACACTCAATATTGCAATGCAGCCCCGGACATACATCATCATCATCATTCCATGGTGTGAAGGGGTCTGGCGCTCACACAGGAAGAATGCGCCACCCGCAACCATACACAGACGAAGAAGAGGGGGGTTAGACGAAGAAGAGGGGAAGATGGGAATGTCGTCAACACCAAGTCTTCGGCACAAGCCCAAATACTCCCTCGTCAAAATGCCTGAATCCCAATGTCGAGTCTGGATCCAATGTCGTCAAGTCTCAAGTCACAACTCTCTCTCTCTCTCTCTGTCGTAGTCTGCTGATACTAAGAAGTCAGGTGGTGAGAGGGTGAAGAAGAGATGGTGGACTTAGAAGAGGAAGAAGAACTCTCTTCCTCTCTCTCTGTTCGATACTAACCTGTGAAGCTGGCGCCTTGATGCAGGTACCTCGGAGCTGGAGCTATTGCGCCACAGGTAAGTCTCGCTGACCTCCGCCAGCCATCTCTCTCCCATTCTACTACCACTACCACTACTTAGCGCCTTGCGCTGAAGACTACTCCTGCAGCTACTAGCGCCCAACGCGGAAGACTACTGCTAGCGCTAAGCTACTCCTGCAGCGCTCCTCCAGAGTGCTGCGGCCGAATCCTGAAGACCGCCTCCGACCTTCTGTCCAACTACCTGCCCGTGAAGTGCATGGGAACTCCCTATGTACTACTCGGCCTGCCTCGTGACTGGCTGCAGCTGCAGGGCGAGGCAGTCCAGGAGGCTGCTCTTGCCAATGCCAGGGCAAGCTAGGGGCTGGCGTTTCAGCTCCTGCTGAGGCTGGCGTGGGGAACAGGCCAAAAATAGCCTGTTCCCGAAACCCTGGTTTGTTGCTTGAGTTTTAGGGCAGGACGATCTTATGAGGGCCCGAAAGTCGCCCTCCGTTTCAGGCTGAAAAGCCCTGTTTTAGGCTGAAACGACATAGGGCCTGCAGGCCGTCGTTTTCAGTCTTTCAGGCTGAAACGACATGGGGCATGTAAGCCCTTATTTCTAGGCTTTTAGGCTGAGAATGCGGGACTGGCCCTGCAAGCCCGTGTGGCTACGCAGTATGCCACCCCCCCCCCTCCTTGAAAGACCGAGCTTACCTGCGAGGGCGAAGTTGTCTGTCTTAGGGAGGGACCATAGTCCGGGTGGGAGGGGCAGGTCGTGAAGTTCCCTGAGCTAACCTTTGCTTCTCGTAATGAGCGTAGATCAGTGGTGCGGATGCTTTCAAATCTGCTCCGGAAATCCATCGAGTGTCGTCGCGATCGCATCATTTGAATGTAACCTTGTTCTGTCGAGGCTTGCTGCCTTACTTGCGATCGGTGATGACGTGGTCAACTTCCTGATGACCAGCCGTAGAAGGGGGGTCCTGCGATCATCGGCCCGGGAAGTCGTCGCTCTTAGCTGGTGTGTATGTTGCCAACTTCGAGGTGTGAAAGACTGGATGGACCGTCATATACGGGGGAATGTTGATCACAAATGAAGGGCCATCGGGCTCATCGCCCGCGGCTGATGTTACGGGCCATGGTCCAAACCACTTGGGAAGCAATTTGCGTGAAACATCCTGTTCCAGTGCAAACTCTTCCGCGGAGACCCAAACTAGATCACCGGCGCGGATGGGACGTGGCACGCGACGCCTGTTGGCTTGCTGCTGCATGCGGACTTGAGGCTTTTGCATTTTCGCGCAGGCTTGAGTCAGCAATTCTCTGTACTTCCGGACGGAAGCGGGAGAGCAAGCGGCGTCGATGTCGACTGGTCGTGGGAGGAGCAGATTGGCGAAGATACGGCTTTTCCGTCCACCGTGGTGCAACCCGAATGGAGTCACGCCGATCGCCGGGTACACCGAAGTGTTGTAGGCGAACTCAATGTCGGGGAGGCGGTCAACCCAATCTTTCTGATCCGGACGGATGAGCGTACGCAACATCATTTCAGCGGTTTGATGTGCCCGTTCCGTTTGCCCGTCCGTCTGTGGATGCTGAGCCGAACTTGGTTTCATCTTCGTGCTGGACTCCTGCATGAGAGCAGTCCAAAATGCTGACATGAAGCGAGTGTCGCGGTTGCTGACTATGTCTTTCGGTACATCGTGGCCGCAAATCCAGCCGGTGTGCAAGAGGCGTGCCAGCTCGGGAGCCGTGCAGTAGTACTTGCAAGGGAGAAAACGCGCGTACTTACTCAAACGGTCCACGACCGTGAGGATGCCGTCGTGCCCGAGGCGATCGCGGGGAAATGGTTCGGTGACATCAATGGCAATGGAGAGGCCAGGTTCCCGTGGGATAGGCATGGGGCGTCTGTGGATGTTGTTCCGTTTGCCCGTCCGTCTGTGGATGCCGAGCCGAACTTGGTTTCATCTTTGTGCTGGACTCCTGCATGAGAGCAGTCCAAAATGGTGACATGAAGCGAGGGTCGCGGTTGCTGACTATGTCTTTCGGTACATCGTGGCCGCAAATCCAGCCGGTGTGCAAGAGGCGTGCCAGCTTGGGAGCCGTGGAGTAGTACTTGCAAGGGAGAAAACGCGCGTACTTACTCAAACGGTCCACGACCGTGAGGATGCCGTCGCGCCCGAGGCGATCGCGGGGAAATGGTCCGGTGACATCGATGGCAATGGAGAGGCCGGGTTCCTGTGGGATAGGCATGGGGCGCAACTCGCCGTAGGGGTTGCGATTGCGGGGCAAACTTCGCAAGAGTCGCAATACCGAGTGACATCGGTAATGAGGTCGGGCCATCGGAATCGTTGTCGAAGCCGTGCAATAGTGCGGTTGACTCCGAAATGGCCGGCGACTCACGAATCATGATACTCGCCGAGAAGGTGAGTCCGAAGACGATGGTCTCGTGGGACACATAGTAAGTCCTTGCCTCTCTAGTGGAGGAGCAAGTACCCGTCGGCAATGTGATAGTGCCTGGCCAGCGGGTGATCCGAAGATAGTTGCGCATACAACGTGGCGAAGTCCGGATCAGACTCGTAGCCCCGGATGAAGTGTCGCTGGACTTCCTCGTCGAATGCGAAGGCATGATGTGTCATAGCGCAAAGATCGGGTCTTCGCGAGAGTGCATCTGTGGCGCGATTGGAGAGGTCGGGGAGGTGTTTCGGTGTGAAGTCAAATTGGTCGTTGAAGTACATCCATCGTCCGATCGTGCTGCTCACCGTATCCTGCATCTTGTAGTAGGTCAATGGTTTGTTGTCCGTGACCCATGTGAACCTACGACGTCCAAGGAGGAAGTGCCGCCATCGCTTGAGAGCCATCATGAACGCGAGCAGCGCCATCTTCCTTGCATCATCAAGCGAATTGAGGGGAGGCACTTTGTGGCTGAAATACTCCACAGGGTGCCAGTTGTCGCCGTCGTGTTGTTCCAAGACTGTCGCAATGCCATAGCCGGAAGCGTCAGTTGTCACTCTTGTAGGCAGGGTGGGGTCATAGATGCTAAGGACGGGTGCCATGAGCATGGCCGTCTTAAGTGCTTGGAATGACTGGCGTGCGTCGTCATCGAATACGAATGGCACCTTTGGCGATTGTAATCTCGTCATAGGTGCAGCAATCCTTGAGTACCCGGTGATGAATCGCTGATAGTAGCCTGCCAACCCCATGAATGAACGAACGTCCGTGGTGTTGGTGGGCTCGGGCCATACGCGAATGGCCTCGATCTTGTCCGCAATCGGACGGATGCCTTGCGGCGTCACGTAATGTCCCAAGTACTCCAGCTCCTGCCGTGCGAATTCGCATTTGTCGCGGTTGGCTTTGTACTCGACTGTACACCAAATGTCGTCGAGGTAGATGAGCACGAATCGATCCAGCATGTGTCGGAACTCCGTTGTCATAGCTGCTTGGAATGTGGCTGGGGCATTCGTAAGGCCAAAAGGCATAACCAACCATTCGAAAAGCCCATATCGCGTTTTAAACGTGGTCTTGTAGCGGTCCTCCTGCCGAATCTCGAGTTGGTGATATCCTGATTTGAGGTCTAGCTTGGAGAAGAACTTGGCGCCGCCCAACCGTTCGAGGAGGTTGTCGATGCGTGGAAGACGACCGACGTTCTTGACCGTTTGCGCGTTGAGCTTGCGATAATCGATGCACAACCGCAAATCCTTGTTCTTCTTCCGGACGAAGAGAACGGGAGCACCGTATGGTGAGGAGCTAGGACGAATCCAGCCTTTCTCAAGAAGGTCGTCGAGTTGTGCTTGTAGCACACTTAACTCTTCCTCACTCATTTGGTAGATGCAACCACGAGGAGGTATAACTCCGTCCTCGAGGATGATTTCGTGGCGGATGGGCCGATCCGGTACTACTACGTTCGGGTCTTCGAACACGTCGCCGTAGGCGTCGAGAAGCTCGGTGATGCGTGGGTTCGAAGATGAGTCCGTCGATGAAGCGTCATGGGGCGGGAGGGCGTGGAGAAAACACACCCCCCATCTCCTCGATGTCGTCTCTGATGATGGAAGCTCGCATGCTTGCGGCGGACACCACGTGGCAGCTGATCGAAGGGTGAGGAGGAGGCACCTTGCATGGGACTAGTACTCCGTTCCGATCACAAACGTGGACGGTACGGCGGTAGAAGTTCACCAGGTGATCCTCGCTTCGCAGCCATGACATGCCCAAGAGCATGTCGAATTTGGTGTCCAAGATATCGAAGGACACCGCCTCGCTTGTATGCGGGGCAAAGTACACGGGGACGTCATCTATGCACCGGTCGATTGACTTGTGCGTGTGACCGACTGCCAACGTGACTTGCGCAGGCTGGGATTTCCTCCGGACTCGTGGGCCAAGGCCGGCGCGTACCATAAAGTCCTGGCTCATGTAGTTGCGAGATGTTCCGCAATCGATCAAAGCGCTGCAGGTCGCCTCTCTGATCCGAATGCGTAGATATAACAATGGTGCGTCGATGTCGTCGTACCGTTGTGTCTTGAACTCGCGCTCGATCTTCGCAATGTAGTCGTGAATGAATAGATAAACCGGATCTGTTTTGCTATCAGTGATACCTTCATATCAAAGCCAGACCCTATAGCAAAAGTAACCCTGGGGTTTTGGGCCGCATTTTACTCCTGCCTTGATCTAGGTCCTTCTTGCTAAGTGCATTTAACGACGTCTCGCTGACGGTGTCATTTGCTGAAATACCCCATCAGTTTCAATCTATAATTTTCGTGGAGGATAAATTAGGAATGTTTCCCTGCAAAATTGAAAACCCCGCGGGGTGAACCCGAAAGAGGTTTTAACCCAAGTCGCAGATCTATGGACCGGAGTTGATTAATATATTTTCACTATCAAAATTAGTTTCTTTTATTTTTCCCATTCCAATCGCAGAAGGAGACATCTGCCACAGTTGATTAGTGGAGACGTGACAAGTCTAACAAACCCTTCTCCCTGCCAAGCCGCTGAGGACCTCTGAAGCAGGCACGGTGGGTGACATACGTTGCTGTCCCTGGCTTCAGTGGCAACGGGGCCCCCTCCCCGGGTTTCCCCACACCGGTCCTCTGGTGGGAGGGCTTTACGACGCAACTTCGGATTCTCTTCGTCGCCAAGCACGAGTACATCGGCGCGCTGTTCCTCAACTCAAAGGGCGGATGCCAGATCTGGTTGAGCCACCTGGCAATCGTCCACGGTGTCGACGTCGCAGATCTGAAAGATAAGATCTCTTGGGAAGAGCTGACACGGCTATGGAAGAAGCGGTTGATCGTGGACGACGCACCAGCACTCGCCATCAACCACCTCTTCGCTATGACGCAAGGCAACACATCGACACGTGACCGGCTCACAGAATGGCAAAAGATCGCAGCAACGCCCGATCTTGACTTGCCATTTTCGCATCTGCGCCGAGAGTTCTACAACCGGTCATGTGTCGCCTTGAGCCTTGCACTTGGTGATCGCGAGCAATACGCAACCTTCGCTGAAATCATCGACAAGGCAAGGGAGATCATCAAGACCAATAGGGCAGTTGCACATGAGAAATCAGCATGGCAACCAACCTATGTGGAGAAGGTGAAAACTGGTCCGCGGCCGCAGCATGTCGCTGCAGTCCAATCGGACAACATTGTGGAAGACCCGGTAGCCATCCAAGCGTCATGTGAGGGAGATCAGGTGGCTGCTGTCCAGCCGCAAAGCAACAACAAGTCCCGAGGAAACGGGAAGGCGAAAACCGCATCGCCGGCCGGAACCGGACATCTAGCACCATGGGTCAAGTTTCACTTGACCGAGGCGGAATACAAGTGGCGCGGCCGCTACGGCTGCTGCTATTGGTGCAACAACACCAAGAACAAGACCTCCCAATGCCCGGATCAAGGCAAGGAGGATGTTCGGCCTCGTATCAACTCGGGAAACTAAGTTTCGCGGGAGGTAAGGCGACTCCACCTCCCACTCCCCCCTCCGCCAGATTCGGCTGCCTTGCTAGCGGCCTCCTACACATCTGGGGAGGATGCGAATGTCGTAAGTTCTCGATATGCTTACGAGGACTATGCTGTCCACTTGGTCCCACCATTGGACCAACCACTCCACGTGCCACAATCTACCGCATGCACGGTTTCATCACCATCGACAACCGATTCGGCAGCTTCGCCGCCATCTATCGTCGGGGATTCAACGTCATGGTCAAGACTTGAAGAACTCGACCCGTTGGCATTTGCGGAATTCCACTGGATACCCCTTCCTCGGTCCGATCGATTGTCGAAACCGCATTGCAACGTGCTCATGGCACAATTGCGGGATTACTTGCACACTGCAGTACCAGCTCCGTTGATGGACGTCGGAGTAGAGGTTATCGAGAGTGGTATTCGGTCCAAACACTGATCACCCCGAAGCTTTTCCCTTGTCTCATTATGTATCAGGCTTGAACCGCGACGCTAGAGCCGTCAGCCCACAGAACTCACAGTTGAGCAAGGCGCATGAATGATGTCTGAACATGATTGAAAGAGAAATCCGAACGGTCAGATCATCTATTTCGAGGTCCCCTCGATGCGTGTGGAAACGGATCTTGAAATGGTGATTGGCATGAAAAGTTACAACCGCCCAACAATCTTCTT